CTCCCTAGTGGTCAATGCAAAGTCAAGAAGGAAAATCAGGAACAATAAATCTGATAGACTGAATCTCTACAGTCTAGAGTTATTACCGCTAGTGACTAAGTGACATTCAGCCGCATATTCAGATGGTATGGCTATGAAGAGTTAGTAAAGTTAAGCTGACCAGTGTGATTCTAACTAAATGTCTATATTACTAAGCATTTACCTACTGTACTGTTAAATTGAAAGGTGGCAATGCAGACATGCCAAATACAGTGGTCAGACAGCAGGCATCACCAGTGGTTACATGATGCCAATGAAAGCATGGGGTTAATGCAGCATATTTTGTATTAGGCCAATTTCATAATCAAGGTTCTTGCATAAGATGATGTTTGCTAGCTGACCATATGACAGATGAAGTGACTGAAAGAGACAGCAGTGTGGAAGCATGACAGTTTGTTTCCTATTGGAAGGGTTTAAAGGAATAGTTCACTAAAAAAATTAAAATCCTGTCATAATTTATTCACCCATATGTCACTTTAAACCCACATAACTCCCTTTCTCCCTCTGAAAACAAAAGGGGAAAGAAATTGAGGATTTTTTTCCATGCTGCTTTCCATGGAGTTATAATGGACAGAAGCTGAAACCTTCAAACTTGAAAAATGACAGAAACGCACCATACACGTATAATGAACATTGGGATTAACAATGGAATGTTCTTCTTTTAAGTTCCATGGAAAGCATTAGAAAGAATTCAAGTCTTAAAAACAGCAGAATTTTCATATTCGGGTGAACTATCCCTTTAAAAACTATGAATCCCATTCTATCATAATCATAGCTATCCTATCCATACTTAAAATTAGACCAATTTTTTCAATTAAGGCGAAAATCCGAACATATGGAAATATGTTGGTAGAAACCTGAGATCTTGATACAACAATTGGTCTAAAGGATTCACCATTTATTCTCCTGGACCTATGCATTTCCAAACATTTTGCGCTATTTAACACGGCTATAAACTCCTGCGACGTTGAAGTGACTTATTATGCAAGGCTGTCCATTCCTACAGCTGTTTTTATTTGCATTCCTAACGTTGCAGGTCAGTGTATTAGAAGGTCTGGGAGCGTTGACAGCTTGCTGACGTGCTGTACTGAACTGTAGCTTTTCTGGTGCGTAGTTGTTTTACTAAGCTCTAAAGTTATTAAGATAAAGGTACCCATATTAGAAGTGTTCATTTAGTTTGACCTTCAGAGTTAATTCACTGCCTGCTGCTGAATGTCCCAAGAGGAAAGTCACTTGACTGAATTCTCTTGGCTCTGTCCAAGGTGCTGATTTTAGATAACATAATACTGCTTTATGGCATTAATTAGTTACCACAATATGGCTTATACTGTACACTGTTTAAGAATTATGTTGATATTTAATGATTTTATGCATTATTTTATATATAAAATAAATAGTTTTAAATAATTTATGTAATATCATTGTTATCCTCAAATTAAGTACGATACACAGTATAAGCCACACACTATAAGTCATACAGTACTGCCAGTATTCAAAGGAGTCATTGTGAAAGAGAATCTTTCTATTATAGAAAGAACGTAAAATCATCTAGAGCTTTAGATTAGAAATAGCTTGAGGAAGTACACTAAAAACTCCAGACTTCTCCAAATGAGCCCTAAAGTACTTAACTACAAATCAGAAGTGTTAAATAGTCATACATACATGTGAATGAGCAGTAAAGCTTAAATATACAAACCACAAGTATCCCTTAATAGTTCAACTGAGCGTGAACGCCAATATCAATATTTTTTGAAGAACTAATCTAATGGACACATTTCGTGTAACATGCTTGCCACCCTTCCCTATCCTAAGAAAATATAACATTTCATTTCATTTCCTGACTATGTAATCAATCAAAAGCTTTGGCAGGGATCACATCCACACTTTGAGCAGACCTGTCATCAATTTAAACAAAAAGTACGCAAAAATTATTTTATGGCAAAGTTTCACAAGAATAGCTGTCATGAGTGATGGGCGTTTGTAGGGTATAATTGGCAGGTGGGACTAGAGTTCACATTAGATGGGATTCTTCTAGCATGCCATGATGAAAGACAGATGTATTTGAGTTTTGGTCAGTAATATTAGAATTATAGGAGAAATTCGGAAGAGTGGATCCAGACAGAGACCAAAGGGCCTGAGAGAATACAATCAAGTATAAAAATACAGTGTGCTAACTTGAAGGAAATAGAGACTCGTCCACTGAGCCTAGCTATAAGACTCGTTACATTAAACCTAGCTTAGCTTATCTGGTTTAGGGGGATGTTCAGTGGGGTCTAAAAGTCTGAGACCACTTTGGATTCCTTCCTCATTTAATGCTTTTTCCATTACAAATCATATTACAAGCATAACTATGGACTGAAACCTGATGACCATGTTCTTTGGATCTAAAGAGCATCTTGAGCTTCAACGGATTCAAGATCATTTGAGTTTACAAGAACAATGTCATAAAAAAACCTCTGAAACACTTCACCATTTTCATAAATAATCATAACTTTTCTTGTTTGTTTGTTTTTTTAATTCCTAAATTAAATTTTTAATGAAAATTTAGCTCAAGTTTAGCTAGAAAATAAAGCTACATACTACTGTACATACATTGGTTGTATATCCTCAGTCCTTTGGTTAAAAGGAGGTCTCAGTGTGTCCAAATAAAGAAGCTGTATATATGACATGATTAAGTATTTTTCATATTGAAGTTTCAGGTTGAATTGTTTGGATACAGCTTTTTAAAGACACTACAAAAGAAAGGCAAAGTGCAAGAAAACCAAACAGACGGATGGACAAACAATAGGACACGCTATCAGACAGTTACCGGAAAGCCTGCTCGTCCAGGTGGACCCTGAAAAAGGGGTGAGAGAAATGTGGGTACAGAATAAAGAAAGAACCAGTCAACAATACTGATTAAGAAGAACACAACACCCTGCCAAGCCATAATGAAATTTAGTCTGCTTTTACAATTTCAATATTGAATAGTGAAAACAATTTTACTGAGGAACTTTGTGATCCAGCATTAAATTTCATTGTGGCAAGGCTCAAAGGTAGCAGCAGGAAAACACTCCAAAGAAGCATTCCACAAACGAAAACACCATCAAATGCTTTCACAACAGAATTTTCTTTGGACCCCAGAAAATCTTTTTTAATATCATGACATGTTTCTTTTATTTAATGGCTTTCAAGTTTTCATTGAAAATCGTTTTAATGTATATCGTCCCAGTAAAAAATAAACATAAACACCCTTAAAACAAGACACATTTACTCCAGAAGAAATATCAGTAATAAAAACTGTTTTTCAGAAAATATGTCTCAAATTAAGTTAACTTTATAACCCTATTTCTTTCTTGTTTTAAGTATAAATTTAGTGTGGTTTATGCTTAAAAGAATAACAAAAAAACGTATATATTATTAATATATTATTATATTAATATTTTACAATAGTCTGGTCATCTTACACAATTTTTCTCAATACAATCTATCTTTATTAAGGGTGTTTATATACAAGTTTTTTTTTCCAGTGTGAAAGTCAATTCAGTTCATGTGATTACTAATCATGACATATATTTCAGTAAGATCATTTCAGTGCATTTAATACTAAGCATTTAGTGCCAGCATGAACACTAAATAGTACCACATGTCTGATTAAAAAAGATGTTCATTAAGAGGCCCACGCATGCATGAAACATATGGTTTCACAAATGAAGGTGCTGGCTGAAAATCCTTATCTCATGCTTGACTTCAGAGTCGATTGTGGAGATCGCTCTGGTTTAAATCAAATCAAATAACAAGTTCACTTCCTTCACAGAGCACCATTCTGCTGTGAAAAAAAAAAACTGTGTACATTTTTCATTGCAGAGGATTAGTGGTAAAAACCTGACAGCTGCTTGATCATTCAAAGAAAGATCCTTTCTGTTAAGACTGCCGTGACACTCTTCATTATCTGATGATGCATTTACAGTTCATTTCATGAGCCTGTGGAAGTGCATACTAGTGTTTGTGTGTGTTGGCTTTCCTCTTGGACTACAGTGCGGAGAGGGAAGCAATTTATCAAGCCTTAGCCCAGGGGAGGAAACTATTGCAGACGGACGAAAACATCCATGGCACTCTTCTGTCTGTATGTTTTGATATGACCATACACCATTCAGACCAAAAAAAAAAAAAAAAAATCAATCCAATAAAACAATGAAAAAAAAATCATTTGTGTTTTTTCATCAGTGCAGGAAGAATTAATCAATAAATAAATCAATCAATCAAATGTATATGTGTGTTTTTTTATTATTTAATTATTATGTATATTAAATACTTCCCAACATGTGTGTGCTGTGTAAAGTTTGAACTGTACTTGTGAGGTCCAAAATGTCCTTACTATTCAAAAATATCCTTACTAATATAGTGAAACCTGTTGAACACAGATTTTTACACAGATTTGCGCAAGGTTTATGTTTAGGTGTAGATAATATCGTTGGGCTACAATATCATTACCCTGAGTTATTTGGAGTATGATTTTATTTTTATTTTTTTTTAGAAATTAATACTTTTATTCAGCAAGGATGCATTAAATTGATCAAAAGTGACATTACAGACATTTATAATGTTACGAAAGATTTGTATTTCAAATAAATGCTGTTAATTAAGAAGCACAACTGTTGCAATAATAAGAAATGTTTCTTGGGCAGCAAATCAGTATATCAGAATGATTTCTGAAGGATCATGTGACACTGAAGACTGGAGCAATAATGCTGAAAATTCAGGTATGCATCACAGGAATAAATTACATTTGAAAACAAACTCATATTTTTTAAATTGTAATAATATTTCACAATGTTTTACTGCATTTTTTATGAAATAAATGCAGCCTTGGAGAGCAGAAGATACTTTTTTTTTTCCAAAAACATTTAAAAATCATACTCACTCCAAACTTTTGAACAGTAGTATATACATAAAACAGCATTATTGTTAAAAGTAAACAATTTTAATACATTCATAATTTATTGCAATCTTTACTGCAAGAGTCCAAAAAACAAGATTTTGCATTTCTGTAACTGGGCAATCACAACATGCCTACTCCCATTAAATCTAATGTGTGTGTCACTGAATGCAGACTGTTGAAGTGTGTGGGAAACAATGAAAGCCCATTAATAGGATCTTTAGGTTCAGAAGGCACACATGTGGCAGAGCAGTATTGTAACATATATGAGAGCTGGACGCAGCTGGACTGGGTGTTTATAAGTGGCGGTGTGTAGAGAGAGGAACAGATCCTCGCTGGATGTTGCTGAGATCAGGAGTGTGTACGAGTGAGCTGGTCTACATGTGCCATGGGTATATGAACGTGTTGACGTATGTGAAGCAGGTCTAAGGTGCAGGCCAAGGTGCTGAGTGGGAACAGGCCAGTGAGGCCTGCTGGGCACTGCTCAGGCCGGCCCAAAGGAGCATCTGGCGAGGTCAGAGGTCACCCACCGGAAGAACACTTAATTTGTGATCCACGGTAGCAGGGTACATGTGGCTCTCATTTAGCCCACAGTGCTGCTGGGTAAATGAAGGGGCTCACCAGGGGGAAACGGGGGTGAATGCTTCCCTAGAGTCCAACATTGCACGGATAAGATATATTCAGCGGACACAGGGCACTTACAGATCACATGCAGTAAAAATACTGAAAAATGCTGAATTCAGCAAGTATATCACTCGGGAAAACCTATTTAATTATGCTGTTCTTTATGCTAAGCAAAACAGCATAAAGTATTATGATATTTTACCTCACAATACTATGTTGTTACAATGCCAAGGCTTTTTATTTTTAGTTGTGCCTTAATATTTTTGGAGAATTTACTAACCCGGCATCTAAATATGCCTACTTTCTAGTATGTGAAAAGAGTAGTATGCATAGTATTCTTAAAAAAAGGCAAAAAATAACCAGATGACTTACTACTTCTGAAATGTGCATCCAACGGATGCTTTACTATCCCATGAGGCCAAGGGACAGGGCTTGTGAACAGCTGTGAAGTGACCTAACTGACGCTGGTTGGTCACATGACCATGTAGTATGTCCAGATCTCATTCGCACTTTGCACATTCATACTATATAGAATGTCGTAAAGTAATTACTTATTCAAAAGAAGTACCTACTCAGAAAGTATGCAATGTTGGACACAGTGTAAATTTACCGTATATCTGCGAATGTCCGAAGACTAAATCTAATCACTTCCATAGTAATAAACAGATTTCACAATGAGTTCAAGTTGGTCACGCAGATCTGCTTGGTTTGAAAGTGACTTCTTTGTGAGCTGTGCTTCGTACATTATTACATGCACTGTTGACAACAGACAGTGGACTTTTTTGTGAAAATTTGCTAATTTGACTGTACCTTAAGTCTGTGAGAAGATAACATATATTATATTGTGGAGGTCATGCATCCTTAATTCTTTCTCTTTGTCTAAACACAACCTAAGACTGACCTACTGTATAAATATAAACTCACAAAGCACAAAGTCCATTCCAGATAATTAAGAAATAAATAAGAAAGAAAAGTGTAAAATATTCACAATTTACACTAAACATAACATTATATATTACTCTATCAATAAGTCCCTGATGATTCCCTCCCCTACTTTTCAAGTGTTTCAATCCTTATGTTCAAGAGACTTGAGACTGACCAGTGCGATGTTCCTCGGGAGTTTTCAACACACTAACTGAGGTGCTTTCTGTCAATGTAAAATGTTTCCTGTCACTACTAATTGTTTAAGGCTGGGTTAGGCCAGCCGTGCCTCAAAAGCAGGCAAAAGTCTATGCTCCTGTGAGGTGACCTGTGAAGAACCACAGGCTATTATGCATTTAAACTTCTCAACATATTCACTTTCAGCGCACAGGAAAAGGCCAATTTGGTGAAGATTTACAGTTGCCATCACATCAGTAAGAGTGTTGTCTTAGTGTTCTTGTTGGATAATCTACAGTATACACTCTTCTAAGAATTGCCATAGGTCAGTGTGATGGGACAGCCCTCTAGGACCATTGATCAGGCACCGGGCTTCTCAAACTCCTTCTACTGAAAGCAAACACTGTAGTTAAAGACTTACTGACACTGATTGCCAATAGATCACCAAACCTGTTTAAAGAAGACTGACTTGATTAAAAGAATTCACTAACCATCTCTAAACATTCTTAGTTGACAACAGTAGAAATATCAACTTAATGTTTAAGTTGGTTAACAGACTATGCGCATTGTTTGACAGTCCCCTCACCTGTCTTTCAGTTCTCCTCAATTTGCCTTCAATTTATGGGTTATATGAGCAGGTGTTGGAATGTTCGTATATGTATGTGAGTTTTTGGGCTGTGGAACCTGCTCACCCATGGGGATATTTTATTGCTCATAAGTTTCACTTTCATAGCTCAGAGACTTAAAGGAACAGTTCACTCCAAAAACAGAATAAAAGGGAATTAAAGGGAGAGTGGACAGACTCATCCGAGCTCCAACACTCACATAAAAAAAACAACTTAAAAAGTCAAATAAGTGGTCCATTCATGAAGACATGTCATGCCAGATTTGAGGTTAAATGATAATAAACATCAATGATTATTGAATATTTTATAACAATGAATACATGACAGAGATTTTCTTAGTTTGGTGAACTATCCATTTAATGGAGTTAATTTAGTATTTATCTCAAGATGTTTTTCCTACAATTTCATAGAAATAAAGAGACAACTGATGTCATACAGTAAAAGTACAGTACTATTAAATTATTGTGACTAGCAAAGCTCAGATCATTTCAACCTAGGATCACTGAAAAAACGTTCCTGTGGTGACATTTCCGTAAAATTGTTATGTAGCTTCTTGAACGTTTAACAACTAAATAGGTGAATTTGAATTGTTGGTTGTACATAATTGTGACAGTTCAGAAATGAAATGTCTGGTGAATGGCGCTAAAAGGTTAATGCTCCATTGCTTTTGAAAATAATATATCTCCTACATTAAACCCTTCCCTAAACTTAGCTAATATGTGAGATAAAAATGTATTAGCTGAAGCAAACATGCCATTTCAGCTTGCTTATACAAGTCTTTGATCTGTTTTATTATTACATGTTTCACAGACTCATACCAGAGTGCTCCGTACGTTGTACCAGGTGCGCTACCAAGCAACTTTACCACATCAGAAAAGCCATACATATGGAGCTGGTTATGTGATGCTTATAAATCATTAACTATGGTAGGCGTTTTGAAGTCATAGCATAGTACTGTGCAAGGAACCACGCAAAAATATGCCTTTAATAATCAATAATCTGCCCCTGTAATTATAATTTCAGTGAAAAAGAAGTTAAAGTTGTTGATGTTTTACTGCCTCTAGTGTTAATTTCAGCTGGAAACTGTAATGAACTATATTTATAGGTATGTTTTGCAAAAATGTAGGTTTAGGCACATTTTTACAATGAACCTGTCATAGATTTATGGACAGTCTAATGACTGTAGACTTTGGTATATTGGCAAATCTTAGAACAGTTTGAAACAGTGATGTCTTCTAAAATGACAAACGTGAGATTACTGGGATCACTTTCACAGTAGGTTTCAGCAGAAGACTCAATTTTCTCTTCATTTAATCTCACTGCTTTCTAGGAAAAAGGTTAAGATATATCTCATTCGAGATTAGTCTTTTCTGTGGCCACTGTTTATCTGTGGCTGCTGGTATTTCATTAATCACTTAAGCTCGACCTTCTCTCTCTAACTGCAGGGACGCAGCTGTCCAACCGCACCTAATTTTATACTGCTCGACTCTCTTTTCTCCTCTACTATATATTTCTCTCGAACTTCTTTCTCATTATAACCTCATTCTGTAACATTAGCCCCTCAAAAGATATATAAAGTTGAACAGGCTATGTCTGCCAGTGCTGTCGTCTTCTATATCCGTGGCCAAATTCCCAAGAATGCATCGCTATGTCCAAGATAATGGCATGCGATTTAAGGTGAAGTGTGTCATTTTTGTGCCACCAAACAAAATTGGAAAATTAATTATCCAAGTCTCCAGAACACGCCCCCTCTGTATGTCATTGGTTGCCCAAATGGATAGTCCCGCCCTAAATTCACATTATTGGTTGAGTTGACACTGCCAAGTTGGACTGCTCAGAATGCTTAAGAGAGCATTGCTTGAAGAGAGCCACAAAATCTCTTCACATTAAACTGGATTTTATAAAGTATCTCAACATCAAAAATGTGCACACTTCACCTTTAGTACAAAACACAAGCTCTTCTTCTGACCGATGACAGTGTGGGTGTTTATATGTGTGGTGGAATGAAACTAAACTAACAGTTTCCTTCCGTGTAATCAGCACTCCATCAGTAGTGACAATAAGGAAACACATGAAAGATAAATTCACACTCTCAAAACACACACAAATACACAGAAAGCCAAAGAGTTTGGGTCACATTACCACAATCCAGTCAACAAAGGGACCAACTTCTACTTACAGGAGGACCTGCAATAAAAACAGAGAGAAAGACAGATTAGTCATTTCGAAAAAATCATCTTGTTTGGACCATGTGTACATTACATCAAACATTTGACCCTGACGGATTTCATTTCCCCAAGAACAGGAAAAATAAAACCGTCACGCAAGTCTGAATTTGCGTAGTCCAACCAGAATCCGAAGTGAATTTCCTGGCTGTCCAGCCCAGACTGAACTGATGAACGCCGCCTCCGATTTCTCTTACCCTAACACAACCTCACACGCAGGTAGTTTAATGAAGTGCGTCACAGCATAGGTTCGGCATGTAAATACAGTGTTAAAAATATGTTTATAATTTAACTGATGACAGGATTGAAAAGCTTTTTGTGGGAAAGTGTTGCTTGTCTCTGGTCCACGGATGAGCAGTCAGCCCACCAAGCAACAGACCACTGAGAACTGAGTGGGAGAATAAGCCACATCACTGGAAGACTGCCTGCACAGATAAATCACACCCCTTCTGAGCACGCGAACCCCACCCAGACATCACAAACTGTCCATCTCCTTCATAGCTAATGCTAAATCATACACTAGCAGCATAATAAACAGTGGAAACAGATTTCACTAACATCGTTAGTCAAGAAAGGTTAAAAGTTTTCACCGTGATTCTGGTGGAAAACGCAGCATAGATTAAAACCCTGAGGAAAATATGTTAAATGGAATTGAGATTTCTACACTCTTATTGGTTGCTGAAAGTATAATGAAAATATGCTTTAATATTTAATAAACGAACATGCAAGGCTGCAGATTCCATGTGGACCTGGTCAGGTTAGTTGCATTGAAAGGTTTCGTCCATTAATATTATAATGTGGGCCTAGAAGGATGTCTAATTTAAACGAACAATGCAACTTGATTTAAGTAGCCATTTTAAGTATTACAAAAAGCAAAGTATTTCAAATTATAAGCACATGCATTAGTAGGATGCACAGCCTCTTTTTCATCCTTTAAGCAAGACACAGCAATCAAGCAGAACTGAGATCATAGCTTCAGGATCTCAAGCTCTATCAAGGAAGAACAAACTCAAAATTGCTGATGACAAATCTTTTCCGCTTATGTCACTTAAAATCACCTCTTCTATAACTTATTATATCCGGACAACTGCAAGAACAAAACCAGTCCGTCGAAGCAATTTGTTACAGAACTATTGAACAATCTGACCAGAATCATAAGGTTTCTTTCCAGTTCTTTCATCCAAAAACCATTTTTTTTGTCCTCTAAAGAGTATGAAAAGACAACACCTCTCTGTTTCAAAGCCAGAAACTTGGGGGAGTAACAGTATGAACCTTTGACTTAAAAAAATAACTATGTAATGGATGGAAGAGAGAACAAAAGTCCCAATAAAACCATTGTTTACTGCAGGAGAAATGTTTCGAGCAAATGTGAGCTCGAATTCTTCAATAAGCAGAAGATCTACATTTCGACTGAGCTCTGCAGTCAAACTGGTACATTAAATATGGCAGCCTTAAGTAATGGCGCAGTCACACCGGTGACAAAGCTTTCCCATGGCTCCATCATTATTCTTTCCTTTCCTGTTTTGAGAAGCCTGTATTTTCTTAGAAATCAGAACCGGCATTTATCAAAGCTGCTGCTGAGACAGCAAGCCCTATTTTAGGCCTAAAAGCAAAAATAATGTCAAAGAACGAGTGAACAACACACACAAAATATGTGTGGTCACGCAAGAATTGCTCTCTGAACATTCCAGATCAATCTTTGTCATCATAAACGATCTCATTCTACCCATGTGATCCATAACTCTTTACACGAAACCACTTCATATGCACAGAATATAGAGGAATCTATAGGTTGTATAGTAGCAGCCTCAAATCACCTACAGACTGCTTACAGTCCATTTACTGACCATCTAATACATATTGGATGAAGCAAAAATGGCTGAAATCACCTTATTTTTACAGTATTTTCTGTCAGAAAAAAAAAACAAATGTGCAGAAATTTTACATTTATGGGTACATCTGGTACAGTACCTCAAAAGTTATTTACACCTAAAAGGTTCATAGTACCTCAAGGGTACAATATGTTGCATTTAGGGGTAGATAAGGTACAATGTTGTCCCTTTAAGGGTTCTGTCCCAGTGATAAGCTGTTGTACCCCTAAATTTACAATTGTTTCATATTTTTTCTGACATGTTTGTAGAGTTCTGCACTACTATTTGAATTCATGGCACCAGTTAGTATTGTGATTATCCATTAATAATCCATTTTAGGTAAACCTACCCTAAATGATAAATAAAAGCTAAACAAACTGTGATTATACACTTTTATGTCAGTCAGACAGTCACTTCCTGTCTAAGTGGGCAGTTCTTTACTTCATGTTTCAAGTCTAAACTCTTATAAAAATACATCTTCATGGATGTGACCCCAAACACATTTCAATCTTGTGTCCAAAATTTTGTATTAATACCACTAATTCTAACCTAGTACTCAAAATATATTCGGTAAAGTCCAAGTATCTCTGAATGCTTTGAAATCTCAATGGAGGATTGTGTTTTCATGCTTCTCTTGCTATTAAAAGCTTTAGGTGTGCACATACATAGCAGCTTATGCACAACAGCAGTCTGTGGCGTTGCAGGCACAGGCATATGTGTACTGTAGACCTACCTGGAGCCCCATCACGGCCTTTCTTTGCCCTCAAACCAGGAGGTCCTGATTGAAAGACAACCCACAGTTACATTTATGTATTGAATGACAAAAGCAATAGCACCACACCACAGTAAAGCCTTTCCCTGTTATGATTTATACTAGCAGAGCTATTCAAGAATTGTATTACAATGCTTTATTGCTAAGCAACACAGTTGTATAATAATTTCATGACAGTTCTTTGGACCAAACTCCCCGTGGCTGCAATAATTAAAGGCAAAAACGGGGCTAAAAATACATCACCACAGAGGCACGGCAAGCGGCGGCAGCAAGAAGCAGATAACGCGTCAAAAACTGCAACAGCGCAGCCAGCAGTAGGATGAGTGGACACTTTGGTAGACTGGGTGTGGAGAGCCTTAAAGCCCCAAAGTGAAAGCCGAAACCGAGCACACAGACACGTGGAAGCATGTGTTCTGATTCCTGACGCATTCTGGACTTGCGTCCACTTCCTGCTCTGCAGACAACCTTCATCCAAAGGCAAACTGAGCCGGGGCATCAAAAATACCCCATGTGATGATGCCTAGAGGACTCTAGGTGTAAAACTATGCGTGTCTAGAGGGGTATGTTTGTGTGAGATAGCGTGTGGTGCTACACACAACAACAACACTGAACTATAAACACAAGGAACGTTTAATGCTTCCATTAAATGTTTAGGCAGTGCTATGTCAGTTAAAGTATTAATGTCAAGCCGCATATCACAACCACCTGTTACCGGCCTTATGCAAGAGGACTGGAAAGTGATAGGAAATGGAGATCTTCTGTTGCATGCTGACATGAAGGCACCCGAGCCACCCGCCCCACCTCGTTTCATAGTATTGAACCCTGCATATTGAACTATGATGATCCAAATAGATTCATAATTCTTGGTATCATTTTCCCTCCAAAAAAATTTCCAGTACTGGATAGACCTTGTGGCAGCACAATGGTGCAATGATAGCATCCAATGGTAATATTTTGGTATTTTTTCTCACAAAAATATATCCGGATCACACTGAACCCAAAACTTAACTTAACTTAAGTTAAAGGGTTAGTTCACCCAAAAATGAAAATTCTGTCATTAATTACGCACCCTCATGTCGTTTCAAACCTGTAAGACCTTTGTTCATCTTCGGAACACAAATTAAGATATTTTTGATGGAATCTGAGAGCTCTCTGACCCTGCATAGACAGCAACACAACTGAAATGTTCCCAAGTCCAGAAACGTAGCAAGGAGATCTATAAAATAATCCATGTGACATCAGTGGTTCATCCGCAATTATACGTGATGTGGAGGAGACAAATTGTTGAATTTTTTTCTTTTTTTTTTTTTTTATGACAGCTACATTTGCTTATTCAAATTGCGACCCATTTCATCAGTCATGGTGTTGAAGCGATATAAACAGATTCTATAAAGAAACAGAACATCATGGCTCTATAAAGACAAAAAACATTGCGATTATTATATAATGTCCTCAGTGTCCTACATTAATAAAGAGCTCACAGTGAAGGGGAAATGATTCAAAAACATGAGTCCTGAATGCCTCAAAGCTGTTGTCATGATCACTCAGTGTGAGAAATTTATGAATGCTTGGACTCTTGTGCACAACCTGGTTAAGCCATTTGAGAGACACAAATGAATATACATTCAAGGCACTTAACTTTCAAGTCAAATCAGGAGAATCACAGGAATAGAAAACCGACAGAATTTTCATTTTTGGGTGAACTAACCCTTTAACTTAACTCAACTTAACTTAACTTATCTTTACAACTTAACTTAACTTAACTTAACACATTTTATAATTTCAGCCATGTAAGAAAAAGTGAAGACGTCGAAGATCTTGATGAAGAATAACTTTTATTACAGAATAGTAGTGACAAAGTACATGTAGTACCTTGGGTTCAACGGAGTCAGACTGAACCCCGAACATCCTAAGCTCAATCATTTTATACAGTATTACGTTCATCTTCCCGCTCAACATGTAAATTAAGTTTCGTTTTAAATGTAAATTGCGGATGACAATGAAAGTGATAGCCTTCCGTTCCCACATCTTCGGTAGACTCAAGTGGGAACAACCAAATGTTAAGGTGATAAGATTAAACAGAATCCATAGCAGTTATTTCATGTACCCTTTTGGTCAGCAGATGGTTCTTGACGACCTGCTGCTTCTCCCACGCTATAAGTGACAAATTATCGCTCCGGAGGTACTATTTACATATGATTAAGATCGGAAAGAACTATCTATATGATAATTAAGCTCTTTGTAGAGAAAGGAGCATAGTTTAATACACAATTTGGAGTGGAAGCTGGGTCGAGGCAGACTATAATTTCTTACAACCAT